AAGACATGTTGATAATATTAATAATGCTTGATTGTACATCATTGGTATTAATAGATTTCTCTACAACTGATTCCATACTTTTTTCCTCCACTATCGACGTTACATTAACATCGATCAATTCTTCTGACTCCTTTCTAGGTACTTTTGCAGTTTCATCACACAATTTCATCTCTTCATCGGCTTGTAAATTAGCATCCTTTAAATTTGCTGCTTGGGCATCAGATTTGGAATCAGTTCTGGAATCTGACATTTCCATAACTAAACTTATTTCATAAGTTTCAGCCTCAGTACTTTTTTCAGATTTTAAAACATCTTTTTCCTTTAATTTTGGCACAAAAGTTTCGTTTTCTTTAATTTTCTTTTCGTTCAATATCTCAATAGTAACATTTTCTTCGATTTTATCTTTCTTCCTTTCTGTAATTGTATTACACAAGGAATTTGTATCATCTTCTGGAACAATTAAATTATCAGTTAATGGCGAGTTTATATCGTTTTCAAATAATATATTAAAAGATGTAACATTTTCAAAAGTTAATTTACCTTCTATTTGTTTAATGGAGTTATTTGCACAGGCATCACTTTTTTCATCTGGTATATGTGATTCGGGTTGATCACATATTTGTTGTGGTTTAGTTTCCATTGGCGGCGTATCACTTTGATTTTTGTTTATAGAAAATGACGTTACTTCCGATATTTTCATCTCTATATTCTCTATTTCTTCAGCTTCATGTAATGGCTCGTTTATATTTTCAATTGTGTTATTTGAATCTTTACACAATATTGGAACAGATAAATCTTCAAGTTTATTAGATACAGTATCATTAACATCATTGACTTTGGGCATTTCTAATATAGATGGAAGCTGTTTAACAGATTCGTCATGTTTGACTGGAATTAATGATTCAAGCGTAGGGAGATTCTCTTCTGTGTAGATGGTTGTTTCCACAGAATTATCAATACTGGTTGAATTTGTATCATTCTGTGTTATTAAATTTGCGGAGGATAAATCTGAGTTTTCACCACCCAAATTATCACTTAAAGATTCTTCATTAGTCGTTACATTTTTTTCTTCGACATGTGGCTGGCTTAATAATGTATTTTCATTTAAAAAAACTAATTCTTCTTTAATTACACTTGAAACAGTTTGAAATGTATTTTTATCATTTAGTACAGATGTTTCCTCTGTATTGGCCAAGTCCATGTTATCTTGATTATTAGACGCTGTAATAGTTGATACAAGATCCATTTTTATAACAGATGTTTCTTGAGATTCATCATTAATTTTATTTGTTATTGAAATGATTTCCTGTGTTGTCTGACAACTTTCAATGATAATATTCTCTTCCTGAAGATCATCACTTTTATTTATCACTTCTATTATACTTAATTTTTTATTGGACACTTCACTTATAACAGAATCCTGAGTTTCACTTGCAGATTCTATAAGAGTATCCTTTTCTTTAGGTACATCTTTTACATCATTATCATCAATGAGAGGACAATTATCATTTATATTTTTTGTATCTAATTCTTTTTCATTAGAAATTACCAAACTATCTTGCTTCTCCATTTCAGGAATAATTACTGATATATTTAGTTCTGAACCATTATTTTTAATTTCCATTTCTTGACATTTTTCTAAAGTTACTAGTTCCATTGACGATGTAGTGGAAGTATTTGCTAATGTATCTATAGTTTCTTGAGAAGTTTCATTGGAAGATTGACATTCTAATGACATTTCCTCCGTTATATTCACTTTATCTATTTCTGTGTTATTTTCATTTTGTTCATGCATGTCACTTGATATCTCGCTGTCAAATTCTATTGCTTTATTTGATTCAGAACCATCTATGTTCTCTTGCACTTCCAAACTCTGTTGCAACAATTCACTTTGACTAGAATCTTCAGACTTTTCAATGCTTATATTTGAATTTTTTGTTCTGCTATCAATGACATCTACTTTTGATTCCTCTGAAATAGTTGCACTTACATTATCATTTAACTGTGAAGTTTTCTCAATATTTTGTTCTGACACATCAACTATTTCAGAATTTTCTTCAATTATTTTCTTCTCTTGTTCTATCGTAGAAACACCAAGCAATAAAGTTTCTTGAGAAAACGATGGAGTTTCTTTCAAAAAGTCACTGTCATTCACATCTGTTTCCTCTGAGTCCTCAGAGTTATATGCTTCTCCTATCAATTGTAAACTTTTACTAATGCCACCAACTGTTACCACAGACTTTGTATTATTTTTTAATGTCTTTTGATTTTCATGTGTTTCATCAACTGATTGATTCTTTGTCTTTTCAATAATATCTTTTTCATGATCCTTGGGAGAAGCATCTACTTGTTGCTTACTTTGAACAGTTTCTTGTAAAGTATCGTCTAATGTAACATTCGGCGAATTAATTTCAATGCATGACTTATCATTGGAAGACGATTCTGATGCACTAACCACAGACGCATCACCAATTATCTTGTTGATATTTACGTCGGAAGTTTTATCACATGTAATTGCAGAATCCATTTCAGTATTTTCCGAAACACTCTTTTCTGCGATACTCGCCGACAGTTTCTCGCGTGTCACTTCTTTATCGGTATTATCAAGCGTTGTTTTTTGTGTCTCACAGATTTCATTAGCTGCACATTTTTCCGACATAATACTGGACTCGTCGGTATTAGAAATATCAATATTATCAATGTTTGTGGCATGAACGGTATTAGAAGTAGAACTTGATGCATTCTTGGATGCATCCTGTTGCGTTTCTGGTTTTGGATCCATCAACTGCGAGGTCGATTCCATCTTCGATTCCGTGATAATCTGCGAAAGCGCGGCGATTTCGCTTTCCAAAGTCGAATCGCCAACCTGCTCACCGGACTGCACGCCGATGATATCGTTGATATCCATCATGCTCAGAGCTTCGGTGTCGTATGTTTCGGTATCACTGTCAACGCCGTACGGTGCATAACGAGCCGGGGAGTTGTCCTTGGAAGATTTCTCTCTCTGTTCTTGATTCCTGTCTTTGGAGCCGAACAGGCCCATCTTAGAACTCTCGGACATTGTTTTGACGTTCCGTGCAGAGGACGTTGTTACACCTGCTACTGCTCTTATACATTTATGCGAACTTTTTTCTGTATTCGGTCATGCATGAATAAGCTTCCGTCTATCCAAATCGAAGATACCTCGTCACTGCAAGTGCATCGTGCGTAAACTTTGCGCTATTCATCGCTGGTGATTGATCTTGCTTTACTTACCGCTACATCGTTCATTTATTTGTTTTTACCCGAATTGCACGAACATAACCAATATTTTTCTCAGCCTACTCGCGAATCACAAACCCGATGACTTAAAAATGGCACACAAATGTAATATAACTCGGGTAATGAGAGTATTATATTGTCTGCTCCACTACTTAACTTTCGGACACACGAGATCGATACACAAGTGTATACACACACCCTCTTTACGGTTTTGAAAATATATTTTGCCAAATCGTAAAACGTTCACTAAATATTAGGTCTGTTCGTCTGTTCTTTATAGCTGAACTAGCTGCACTAGTTCAGAGTTTATCTTTATCTCTCCACATTAGAAGAAGAAAGATAAACTCTGACTAGTGCAGCCAATTCAGATATAAAGAACAGACCTATCGACGCCAACTGACGGTGTGAAACTCGACGGTAAGAAAATTCCCTAAAGTCCGTATCAGACTACGTATTGAAGATTGAAATTTGACCAATCAGGATAAAAGGAACTAAAATTTCTTTGTCCTGATTGGTCAAATTTCAATCTCAATGCATAGTCTGATACGGGCTTAACGATTAATAGCGCATACAAATAGCGACAAGAAACGATAGCCAATCACCTTTTGATATATGTATCTAGAGTCTGGAGTAGCATTAAAACAAAATTTTATTTATATCAAAATATATATATA